TATATATATATACAGTATATGTATTACTATAGTAATATATATTATACTGTAAGAGATAAACCCATGACTGGCATGACTACTACTATAGTAGTCAATAAACAATAAACTGGGTTACAGGGATAGTTCACCCCAAAATGACAATTCTGTCATCATTTACTCACACTCATATTGTTCCAAACCATGAATTTTTTTCTTCCGTTGAACCCAAAAGTTATTTTTGAAGAATGTTGGTAACCAAACTGTTGCTAGTAGTCATTGACTTCAATAAGTATACTAGTATGGAACAACATGGGTGAGTAAATGAGTAAATAAAGGATGAGTAAATAATGACAATTTTAATTTTTTATTTATACATTTTTTCACAATTTTGATAACACTTTACTCGAGTACAATTTAAACTGACTACTAGTATCTTTACCTGATTACATTTCCAAAGAAAAAACACTTTTAACTCCTTAAAATTTTATTTAAACTTTGAAAGTACATATTTTACATTTTATTTTGTTCAATCTTATGCACATTAAATATGGTAAACAATCTCATACATGCACGCTGTTTTTGCACATTAAGTACACGCATTTCAACTTCAGTTATAACTTTCATCAGGGAAATTTCTATCTATATTGGCTAAATGCACAAGATTGGGTACAAATAAAATCAGTGATGAGAATATTTTGGTGGCCATGATTGAGTTTTTAATTAAATGTTATAAATCTCCAAAAGTATTTAAATGCACATTATATGTTAAATTAACTGCAAATCATCTTGATGTTCTTACAGGGAGTGGATAGGTGGTATTATAATGATATATTTAGTAACAATTAGGATTGTCAATGAATTATTTTAATCTAAATAATTACACGATCTGCTCATTAATTAATCTAATTAATTAATCACAATTAATTACATTATAATTTAACATCATAATTAAAAAACAAACAAACAAACCTTTAAATCCACCAAATAAACAATTAAAAGATTCACTATTGTTACAGACTGGAGCACAGAATAGACAACACAAAAAGTGGCTTTTCAAAAAGTCAGTAGTGTATGTTTTAATTATATGTCACTCATCATTAATTCAACACACATTCTTGTATTCTGTCTGGAATGTTTCTGGCTGCTGCATCACATCTGGCTCATTAAAGGGATACTCCATCCAAAAATGAAAATTCTTTCACCATTTATGCACCTGATGCCATCCCAGATGTATATGACTTTCTTTCTTCACAAAAAAAAGAAAAAAAAAAAAGAAGATTTTTAGTGCATAATTCAAGTGTATGAGCCTGCTTCAAAAACCACACAAAGTGATCATGACGGTGAAGTTTAAAATAGTAATGGATTACTGCCATGCTCACTTTATAGTTTTTGAAGCATCATCTTTGGACGTCCTGTACACTTTTCAAAAATCTTTTGTTAGAGTCCATCTGAAGAATAAAAATCATATACATAGATAGCATGAGGGTGTAAAGGATGGAGTTTCCCTTTAAAGGCTGGTATTTTTGTGCTCAACTGTGCTGCATTTTAATTGTTGTTGTATGCACTAGAAGTTTTTGACATGCAGCCATTGTGGTTTGTTTTGTTTTCTCCTTTTAACCAAATCTTGTATCCCCACTGACAAAATATTTTATGCTATTTATTTTTACGTAATTACAAGAATCTCCTCTCTCTGTTTCTCATTAATTGATTGATTGTTGCTAGGGTATTTCTACTTTTTTAAATACACTTCTGTAAAGCTGTACCTTTTTATTTATTTATTTTTTACTTTTACTCATGTATGTTTTTGGCCAGATACTTGTACTTTTAATTGAGTAAAATGTTCACTGAGCATCTGTACTTTAACTTAAGTATAATTTTTTGGTACTTTTTTTGCACCCAAGAATATACTCGCCAAGCCGACTTTTACTTGCCTTTGGTGCTTGGCGAATGTTAATTTTGGACCCTGGCTCAGGCTGGCTGAGATGCTAAGGGTGTCCGCTGGATGGCGCTGCAAGCTCTTGCAGTGCTGTAGAAAAAAATACGCAGAAAATTACAGTATTTGGAAATCAGCATTTTACACTTTGTTTTGTAATTGTTTCCGATCGGGAGTAACTGTTTCAGACCAATTAGGTCCTGTTCTGGTTGGGAAATCCTGTGAGCAGGTTTCGTTATTTATTTTGCGTTATTGTAATTTGGTCTTGAATCTGGTGTGTCACGGCAAATGCGTGACAGTTGCCAACACTGTTCACACGTTTAGAAGAAACCCTTTGTATTTTCATGTTCAACATTAGCAATGTTTCTTCTTTCAGCTTTTGAAGTGTAACTTTTAAGTGTAGTAGGGTTAATTTCAGAAAACTTTTTAAGTTATCTACCGGTAAAAGGTTTTTAATGTAACGGTTTTTCCGGTAAAATTCTGTATGTGTGTCTCTGTAAGTGCTACACACTTGAAAAAAGTCACGTGGGGATGTAGCTCAGTGGTAGAGCGCATGCTTCGCATGTATGAGGTCCCGGGTTCAATCCCCGGCATCTCCACTTTTTCGGTAATAATTTTTCTGCTGGTGACTACAATAAAATCATACCCTTTAATATATAATAACTTCATTTAAGAATAACATACGCTGATCATTAGTCAAAATGGTTAGTAGATATTAGTTTTGTATGTTTTATTTCTTCAAAGCCCCTATGGAATAACTTCAGAGGCCCCACAGACCCCTGGTAGAAAACACCGCATACACCTTATTTTTAAATACGGAAATAAGCTCTTTACAGTTAATGCACTGTTTGTACAGCTAAAATAACTGGAATAAGGTGGGTATACAGACATTAATGGCCCTAACATCAATGCTGAATGCAGGATACACTGATAAAGAAACTATAAACTGATAAAGTAAATAAAAGCAGTCTGCGTCTGCTAAATGTAAGTAAAACTATATATGCGTTCTAAAACATCATCCTGTTAAAAACCGTGGTTCCACTGGGGCTCGAACCCAGGACCTTCTGCGTGTAAAGCAGACGTGATAACCGCTACACTATGGAACCTGACAACGACATTACGAACAACGTTGCAGATTAAAGATGGTTCCATTCAACTGAACGAAATTAACATGTAAGCAACTCACGATTTAACACGGACAACACGTTGGCTGATATACAGTGTAGTATTTTAACAAAACAATTAATAATGCTACATTTGTGCCTGACCGCATGGAATGAAGACGGAGAAAGTGCAACGTTAACGTTCATTTAATGTTAAAGCCACTAAGAGCGTTAAATATTTTTTTTCTGCATTTAACTGATTCTTTTAACCACACAATGCTGTATGCATTTGTGCCTGTTTGATGTCAGAAGCTCAGATATTATCAGCGATATTGGCAAAGACTGAGCTACAGAATCTGCTGCATTCACATCTGCAGTCGCATGCGATAAAACCGTACGACAGCCTTCTTCTGCTCGAGACATCCGATTGAACAATCAACGCAGCAGCTATTATGCAGTATATAAACATGGCGGTTTACCAACATGCATCAGCGCGTAATGATCATCTATATATAGATGTCAAGTCGTAGAGCATCTTTTCGGAAGGGAAAAGGGAAAAGTCTTATTTGTGATTCAGGTTATTATACTACAGGATTATACAAAATAGCTTTTTAGTATACAATATAGCTTATCTGTAGGCCTATGCATTAAATAAAATGCCAAGACCGGGCACTGGAGGACACTGATTGAACTAACCAAGAATAAAGCATCAGAAAAATATGAGATACAAGGTAGGCATGATTTTTATATTTGTCTCATCCACGCAGCATCATTTCTCAATGCATTTAGACGTTTTTGAAAAACAAACAAACACAGAATTAACCTACACGCACATGCCTCACTTTATATATTTATTCAGTTATTTTTATATTTACTCTGCGTGTTATGTAAAACAGAACGCGGTTGCATTAATCAGGCCTGTGCATAGTTATTTTTTATATGAACATTCTCATGTCGCATCCAAACCTATAAAAGCCACATTGTCTGATAACCTTATTTATGTATTATTTGTAGACAGTGTGTATGTAGCCATAGCTCTGCCTGTATGTTTAATATGTTGCCCAATTTGTATTTATTTATACTATCAAGGACACTATATAGGCTTATATATAGCTTAGGTAATTTCTTGAATAAAAAAAGGTAAGATTTAATATATTAACTAACCATTCATTTGTAAATCCATGTATAAGTATTTGACTATGCAAACTCAGAGATGTTCATAAGTATATATATATATATATATATATATATACTTAAAGTGTTAATTAATTAGTAATGAAAAAATAACGCAATTAAAATATTTTAACGCAGTTAACGCACTGTCCCCGCCCCTAGACCTGTACGTCATGTTACATTTCCTACAGTTGCCTGTTGACAAATATGATGCAGGGCAACAACTCCATAAATGCAGTTATGCCCTAAAATTTAAGATATTGGGGCAAAAATGCCACTGTATGAGTTTTTGTCTCATTAAATCACATGATAAGCGATATCACAGAGCAGTGAGAGCAATATCACACAAGTGCTGTTTTTGTCACAAATAGCAAGTGCGCAAATGCTATTTTATACAACAGTTCAGTAAATAAGAAGTTAATATTGTGTTATATTTTAAAAACAATATTGTGTTTTTTCTCAATTTTGCCAACGAAAATATTACCAATGAAGCCACCGCAGAACTATGCGTCTGTGAGCAATAGCGGTGCTTAGTTTCTGAATGAATACTTGTTTTGAACGAATCGTGTGAACCAATGATTCAAAGGCCCATTCATAGAGAGAGACGTTGGCCCTATCCCAAATCATTTACTCACCCTCATGTCTTTTCAAACCTGAATGACTTACTTTCTTACATAGAAGGTATTTTGAAGAATGTTTATAACCAAGCTGTTTTGGTTACTTTCATTGCATGAACAAAAAATACTGAGAAATGATCAAATTACAAATTATCTTATTTTATGTTCCATCGTTTATGTTAGACCATTGTAGCCTAAACGTTTATGTGTAATACATTTTATGTTGAGTCGAATAAAATATTTCTTTCTAAATTTGTAATGTCTACTTATTAGTGCTGGGCAACGATTAGAATTTTTTATCGCATGATTTTCTGCGATTAACCGCGATTAATCGCATTGTTATGCACAAAATTCAATAATTAATTCAAAAGTAGTGTATTGTGCACTTTTTTCATTTAAAATTAGTGCTATATGAACAAAAGTGCAATAACATTTGGTTTGCAAACACTTAACTAAATAAGCTGCTTTTTTACAGCAGTATTCCTTTTACATAGCAGTTCAAATAGTTCTTGTAAATCTCAACTTATAACATTAATGTAATCAAATTAAATATAAAACCAACGCTATTTGCTACTGCCAGGGCATTGACGTTTTTATAGAAAATATTTTATAGTTTGTTATAGAAAAATAAGTTATGCTCAGAGTCCAGAGCCTCTATCATAACATTATAACAGGCACCTTCCGTGTAGAGACCTGGACTCCCGTGGGACACAACGCAGCAGAGTGCGGCGTGGGACAACACTTGATGGGCGAGTGCGGGCGGGTAGAGACTCGTGTGTATGGGATGCGGGAGAATAAGGGTGTACTTTTACACTAGGCAATCTTAACCGTGCCAAAGCGCGTTTGACCCCCAAAGCCCAGTTCGTTTGACTAGTGTGATCACTCCGTGCCGCGCTCGGGCACGGTTCGTTAAGCCATCCCTGGCTCGGTAGGAAGAGGTGGGCCAGTTGGGCTCAGGCGCGGTACACATGTAGTGTGAGCGATAACCGCGCCGGAGCGCTGAACTTCTGATATGTGCAGCATGATTGCGTGAACATTTCTGAGCGGCAAAAGTGATAGATCTGTAAAGCAATATATTGTGAGAGGGCCGTGTGTTACCGCGTCCCAAACGACTCAAAATAATAAACCACAAAGTTAACAAAACGAGTCAGAAGTCGTGAGCGCTGCTGCAGTCTTAGGCCCACCCCAAATGCTCTCAGGTTGAGACACGTGATGACACTTACCCCTCCTGTGACCCATGGTTTGTCTGTATGTGTATTCAGAGCCAGTGAGCAACGGACTTTCATAATAATAAAAAACTGCATTAACGTGCGATAAAATAATTGTCGGCGTTAATAACGCGTTAACTTGCCCAGCCCTACTACTTATACTTTCTAATTTAACACAATAATAACTTTAAATAATCTTTTGTGGGTATTTTCACGGCCAAATTTAGTTAATTACGTTAATTAAATTAGTTAATTAAATGTAGTCAATTAGATTAATTAATTTATATATACATGTGTGTGTATATATATATATATATATATATATATGCTTTGGTACTATTTTCACAAGTTAAAATTTCTTAGTACAAAATTCTTAGCGAAACAAATATCAATTCTTTAATAAATAGGCCTATATATTGAATATCCCAATTGAAACTAAGTCTTAGCACTGAATCCGAATCGTCAAACTTAAATGAAGCCAGACCACCATCGGGTGATGAATTTATATCAGAAACTTCTGAGCCAAGCGTGTTTTAAGCATCATTAGCATCAGTAGTGTTTGATTCGCTAAATAGATCCATCCTTTGAGGAAAGAAACACATAAACGTGCTAGATCCTGTTCGCCACAACTGCATAATTTGCACTGCGGTCCTCGATCTGCGTGAATTGACAGAGACACTTAATTAAGAAATCAACTGCAGAGCCCCGTTGTCTCAGACTGAGGTAATGCTTTACAATAAACTTCCTTTAGTTAACATTAGTTAATGCATTAACTAACATTAACAATGAGCAATACATTTGCTATAACGTTAATATTTAGGCCTATTATATTTGTTAACGTAATAAAAATACAACTGTTCGTTGTTATGGTAACACTTTACAATAAGGTTCATTAGTTAACATTAGTTAACTACTAAGCATGAACAATACTTCTGATGCATGTTTCAAACCCTTGCTCCTGAAAGAATGAAATGTTACAAAAATACAGGCTACAAGCTGCCACATTAGAAAATACACTTACTTGTGTAACTAACCATAATGAATATATACATAATTCATAATGTTTGTGATACCATCTATCCAGTGGGTTATGAAAAGGTTTTGTGCTTGAACAGTTTGCTGGCAAAACAGTAAATGTTCTCACCATACGACTGAATCTATACTATAGTTGACCTTTCCAGATGAAGGATGAGTTGCAGTAATTTGTTTCTACCAGGTTTAAAGCGTTTGCTTGCAGTATCACTTACCATAAAGTAAAATGCCTGTATTTGATGCAACAGTTACCTGTCATCTGCCTTCAGATGAGTCTCTGATTAATCTGAAGATTACACAATCATTGACTGCTTCATCTCTCTTATGCTGTTTCATGTTCTTTCATTCTCTCTGTCTCTCATGAACACGCACACCAGAAATCATTATATTTAAAGATCTGTTTCAGAAATTGCAAACTTGTTCTACATAATGTCTATCTATACTTATTAAATGTACCCAACAATTCATTGCTTGACCATTAAGATCAACTGGATTAAAGGACAGACAAATGTATTAAACTGAACAGATTTCATTATATATTAATGTAACCTTTCCTTGACTTTGAATTTGGTGTTTTTGTCATGTGATGGTATTGTTATGTCTTGTGATACTGTCACAATATATTATTTAGCTACATCTTATAAGACTCTCAGTGATGCTTTTTTATACCCTGATGAAAGCTTCTTAGATGTTATGTAGCGGTTTTCATTTTGTATGGTTGAAAGCCATGATTTCATAGACTTTTTATATTTTATGTCCTACTTTGAATGCCATGGACTACCATATTTGCATTGAGCTGAATATCCCTTAAAGAGCACCAGTGGGCATTAACTGTTAAGCATTCTTCACACATCATGTTTATATATGAGGTTTTGATTACTGCCATTAAAAAAAAATAATACAAAATTTGTTCTGTGTAACTACTTTTTTAAATATTCCCTTTAATCAGGGTATTTTTTTTGTTTTGTAAAAGTATTACTTTAAATGGTCTTTTTTTAGGCTAACCCCAATGGAACTACCACAATTTATTAAACTAATTTGTCCGCTCCCTTTAAGTTCTTGGTTGAAAGAGAATCTAGAGATATCAAACATATTCCAGACAGCTGAACTGCATTACTGAACTCTGCTAGCTTAAATGTAGGGCAACCGAAGTTACTTATTAAGTATTTTACATATTTAACCGAACAGTTTAACATATCAAAATCACATCAAAAGGACCCTACAATATAATCCACTACAATTACACAGAAATTCTCTAGTGTGTTAAACATGCTTTTTCCTTCACACTAATTTAATTTCTAACCTGACCTTAACAGGACTTCAAAGTAAATATTTGACCATTTCAAACTATTTTCTACTGTCTTCAATTCAAATGAATCCATGCATATGCTTCTATGTATCTGCAAACTCCTTTTGCAGAGGGCTTCCTTTAATTTGCTAATATTGTCTGTGATTCATTATCCAGATCCCAGGGGCTGCCATGGATCGTGTTAGCCTACTTTGGCGGTTGAGACGCCGGGCCCGTCGAGGGGCCCTGTGCATGGCACTGTTCTGTATGACTATGGCTCTCCTGTACACCTTTTGCGCTGAAAACAGCATACCTGTCACAGATGCCATTTTTGGGGTTAAGGCGAGAACTCGAGCTCAGCCAAGAACGCACACAATTGTTAAGGTATGTCAAGATTCCTTTCCTCACACGACCTTCTGCTCCACTGAATTTGATCATTAGAGTGCTGTAGAAATGAGTCCTAAAGCCCGAAAATAAGGTTCCCTATCGAACGGTCTCTCCTGTTGCGTTAACACGCTATGGGGAAACTCCTGTTTACTCCGTTACTAAAGCCTGATTTGTTCACGCTTGTGTAGTTGCACAAACCAATAGTGCTCTAGCCTGCCAGAAGGGGAGGAGCCGACTGCTAAATAAGTTGGCTCAGAGTGACTTTTCATCAGAATTTTTCTCCTTCGACGAGATCATCTCTTCGCTGACTCTGTGATCGAGAAGCCAAGAGAAGAAGAAGAGCTCTGCTCAGCCTGCTGCTCGCCGCCGTAGAAGGAGCCCCGGCAGAGGAAGAAGCAAGAAGCCTTCCCCTTTGGCCATCCAGCGCTTAAAAGAGCAAATTTCCAGCGACGTTGTCACACCGCGAGTGTGGCTTGTTGCAGGGATCCCCAGCATGATGCAGACGGGCACAGTGAGTGTGTCGCCTGTCTGGGCAGTGCCCACGCAGAGGCAACATGCTTTCATTGCAAGAGTATGAGTCTCGCCCTTCTATGCTCACGGAACGCCTTCTTCCATGAAGGTGGTCCTCCCCACTCTGCTCTCCCGTTTCCTCCCTCCCATAGGAGGAAGAAACAGCAAAGCAGCAGGGTCTTTTCACTGGGCTCGAGTGAACTCACATGGGTGCTTCACTCTCCCCTCATCACCTCGAATCGCCGGAGTGCTTCACGCGTGAGGATCAATGCCCCTTGTTGGCTGCGAGTGACCTGATATCCTTCGGCATGTCTGAGGAGGAGATCGCCACTGATGACTCCATGTCATTAACAGCATCGGATGCTGAAGAGTGGACGTGTTCCAGCGAAGAGCCCGAATCCCCGCCTCTGATGCAAACAACATGATCAAGCGTGGACAGCGAGCTGATCTGCGTTCTGTCTAAGGCTGTGGAGGATCTTGGCCTGGCTTGGTCGGCTCCGGAAGAGCCTGCCCACAGCCTTCTCGATGAGTGGAACATGAAGGGACACCATCAGTGATCCTCCCGCCATCGGTCTGCTCCGTTCCTGCCGGCAGTTCATGAAGAGTTCACCAGGACGTGGCGCACCTGTTAAATCAAATGAAAAATGGTGTGTCTGATTGGTCCAGACGCTACACCCCCTACTTGGCCCGTGTTAATCCCTCTACTTCCACCGCTCTCACCACTGTTGACGCCGCTGAAGAAAGAGGCTATAGCAAGCTCCCCCCCTCTGGAAGAGGCGGTCGCTGCTCATCTGCGCCCTCAATAGGCCCTTGGGTTGAAAGTCCATGCAGTGCATCCATCCAAGCCCTGCAGGACTACATCAGCCTTGGCAGGGCTTATGCAGCGGCTGGCCAGGCTGGCTCAGCTCTGCATACGATGGTGGTACTCCAGGTGTTTCAGGCCAAACGTCTCCATTCCATGGACGAGTCTGGCCAGGATTCTGACGCCTTTAAGGAACTGCGCATAGCAACCGACCTGGCTCTGTGCTCTACCAAGGCAACAGTGCAGGCGATCGGCACGGCCATGGCCAATCTGGTGGTGCTGGAGAGCCACCTTTGGCTGAATCTGAGATCAGGGACGCTGACAAGGTCACCTTCCTCGACTCATCAGTCTCGTCTAAAGGATTATTCGGCCCTGCCCTAGATGGGTTTGCTGAGCGTTGTACAGCGGCACAGAAGACCTTGCAGGCTCTGCATTACTTCTTGCCAAAGCACTCCAGTGCGGCGGCTGGTTCAAGACACCAGAAGACCCCATCCGCCCAGCAGCCTGCAAAACGTCTTGCCTGTTTCAATCAGGCGTCCAAATGGGACTGACCTCCAGAAGGAAGGTGGTCACAACAGATGCCTCCAACTTGGGTTGGGGAGCTCTGTACGAGGGCAGACCGGCGTTTGGCTCCAGGTCAAACCTGGAGCAGCGCTTGCACATCAACTGCCTTGAAATGATGGCAGTTTTCCTGGCCCTAAAAACCTTCCTGCCAGCCTTAAAGGGGCACCACGTCCTGACGGTGGTAGCCTACATCAATCACCAAGGTTTACAGGTTGGCTTGATGCCTCTTGTTATGGGCTCAAGGCAAACTCCTCTCAATAAGAGCGTGCCGGGCAGACTGAACCAAGGGGCAGATATGCTGTCCAGAGACAATGCATCTCCAGGAGAATGGAGACTACATCCTCAAACGATTCAAATGATTTGGTCTGTCTTCGGGAGGGCAGAGGTGGACCTCTTCACCTCAGAAGACAACTCTCACTGCCCAATTTATTTCTCGAGACAGCGAGATGCCCTGGCCCACAATTGGCCCAGCACTCGCCTGTTGCAGTCTTCTCTGACTATTGTATAGCACAGAGCCAGGACCCGTCCTCTTGTGACGTGTCCCATGTGCTAACTTTCCTACAAGAGCTGCTGGATAAGGGGCGCACCCCATCCACGCTCAAGGTGTATGTGACAGCCAACACGGTGAATCACTCTCTCGTGGCTGGCCAATCAGTCGGTAGAAACGACTTGGTCGTTTCATTTCTGAGGTGAGCGCGGAGATTGAATCCTCCTTGCCCTCATACAGTGCCGACTTGTGACTTATCTGTAGTCCTCAGAGCCCTACGGGGCCCTCCCTTTGAGCGGCTCCAGCCGGCCGATCTGTGGCCCATGTCGTTTAAGACCACCCTGCTTTTGGCTTTAGCGACAGTCAAGCTAGAGGCTGACTTTCAAGGACTGTCAGTCAGTGCTTCCTGCCTTGAGTTTGGGCCTAACGACTGTAGAATCGTCCTCAAACTGAGACATGGCTATGTGCCGAAAGTGCTCTCCACTCCGTTCAGAGCTCAAGTTATCACCCTTCTGGCACTCCCGGTTGCAGACGGTGAGCAGGGTCCCAACCCACTCTGCCTAGTTCGGTCCCTTAGAGTGTATGTTGAGCGCTCTGGCCCATTCAGACACTCACAGCAGCTCTTTGTATGCTTCGGAGGCCACTCTAAATGTTCTGCCGGTCACGAAGCAGAGATTTGCTGGATAGTGGATGCTATAGCCTTGGCTTACGCCTCAGCAGGCTTGCAATGCCCTACAGGTGTGAGGGCTCACTCCACCAGAGGAATGGCCTCCTCCTGGGCTTGGTCCAGTGGGATTTCTATTGGTGAGATTTGTGCGGTCGCCGGTTGGTCATTGCTGTCTACCTTTGCCAGATTCTGTAACTTGGATGTCCCTGCCCTGCAGGCACGGATCTTTTCCGCTTAAGTCTACCTAATTCCCTTTGCAAGTGGAAAAGGTCAAGTTATGTAGTACTCAGCCTAACGGCTCGGGTCTCATTATGTGCTCATGCTTATAGGAGTCCTCAGTAAGAGTGCTCCGGGACTGGGCTCGCAGAGCGGCTGCATTCTGCATTTGCGTAGCACGGCGCTATTGGATGCATTCCCCATAGCGTGTTAACGCAACAGGAGAGACCGTTCGATAGTGAATGATCCGGTTACTTGCGTAACCTCGACCTTGATTCCCTGAGATAAGACAAGCTGTGGTTAAGACAAGCTCAAGTTTTTATGTTTTATTCTACAGCAAACATCAGCAAATCGCTATTTGTGATTGTTTTTAAGCTTTCATGTGTTTTAAAAAGGCGGTTGCTAACAAGTGGCTAAATGGGCTACAGAGGTTTTAGGGGATAATAAATTGAACAGGTAAACTAATCTACTTACTAATTCACTTTTTCTTGCTTTTGTAAACTATTTTAAATCAAACTTTCCAACTTGTAGATTTTTAATAAATATTGAAAGAGCTGTCACACCCTGTAACACCCAGCAACACCCTGTATAGTCAAAAATGTAAAATGCATCCTTACTAAAAGTGACACTGATCTATTGAAGGTATTGCGGGGAACAGGAGGGTCGAAACCCATGTATACTGACCCTCAAAAGCTTCCAGGTATCATTCCTGGAGATCCTCAAAAGCCTATTCCCATCCTGTCGTCTTCTAACTACTCAATGGAGAGCAATACTAAGGACCGCAACCTCAGCGGCAAACAAAGAGACCATGGGCTATTTTACTGGCTTCTGGCACGACCGCTGAGACGTGCTTTAGAGACTATTTTTGGAGGCCGACGGAGAGGAGATGTGGGTGCCGCAAGTGGGGATGCTGTTGTTTTTGGCCCTAATGGAGCACTCAGAGAGGTCTGGAATGAAGAGATGTCAAGTAGCATGCTGGGAAAAAGGCTGAGGAAGGTGGTGCAGAACTTTCAGGTGAGGGAAACTCAAAAACATCTAAAAGCCTTAACATGAAAACACAGTAACAAACTTCAAGGACTGCAACTGCTGATCACCAAGGCATGAAGTCTCTTCAGTTAGTATTAGGTAGTGTTTTGTATTTTTTACATATGCAGGCGAGCTTCATCCTCAGAGGATTGTGTAAAATTTTACATAATCCTCTGAGGATGAAGTTCTACTGCACATGTAAAAATACAAAATACTACCTAATACCAAGTGTTAATTGCAACAAATGAAATGTGATCTATCTATCTATCATAGTTTTTTATGTTTTTATTTTAGGCAATGAATAAATATGGAGTTCGCTACCCTGGACCTGAGAGTGCAGCACGTCGTTCTAAACTCAGTGGCCCTGAACTTCTTTGTCAAATCAAGGAGATGGTTCAGATTGCAACTTTAACACCAGATATGGAGCCATTTTCTGGGTTGCCCTTGGCCTCTCAGTTACCTCTGCGCCAAATAACTGCTGATATTGGCCCGTTCAAGACCTGCGCAGTGGTATCATCTGCAGGTTCTCTCAAAAACTCTGGATTAGGAAAGGAAATAGGTAATAACTAAATTCATAACATAATCTGGATCTATTTCTTTGACCTGAAATGTAATGAGAATATATCTATATTAGGGTTGGGCGATGTCTACCAAATTGGCATCGGACGATGTCTACAGTGAAACATAGTGATGGACAATGACATCGGGTGGGGGTGGGGGGGATTGGTGGTGTGCCCGAAGCGTGAAACAAATAATGCGTTCTACGGAGCCACTAAAAGGTTAGCCGCTTGCTAGCGGTAGCCTGTTGCATTACAGTACATGAAAGTTCACTTACCACATACACAGAGTAAGGAGAAATGTCTGATAGGATGATGGCGAATGATTTGCAGATCCTGAGCACCAATGACAAACATCTAATCTTGTCAAATGTGTGGTAAGTACTGCCGCTCCATAGTATAGAGTCCTTGTGATCGCGAATCTCAAAAGTGAAAGTGAAAGTAAAATGAGAGCGCACAATCGAAAGCGGTTTCAATAGCGGCTCCCTGATGTCCGAAATTTATATACAGTTGCCTATACTTACCCAACGATATAATTGAGAGAAAAAGTATTTAAATATTTTTTTTATCCTCCCATCTTCGTAGGCTATTTATTCCCTTTAGGGTTTCCGTAGTACACTTCATTTCCTTTCCGAACACGGAACTGGGATGCTGCAGATTGCGGGAGAGGGGGTGGGGGGAAAGAATCACAATGTCAGCTTAACATCGTGATGTCTGTCAGCCATTGGCGATGGACGATGGCATCGTCTATCGGCCCAACCCTAATCTATATATCTATATATGTATCTATCTATATATATCTATATAAACATATATAGATATATATTTAAAATAATCACATTTTGTTGCTTTGCAGCCTGAAATGAAGACGGACACAGTTTTTGTTTTATCCAACTGTATTTACTCAGTGCAACTTATAACATTCCAGAGAAAGATATAAAACCAACATGTCAAAAGTTGGAAAAAGGATCACCCCCTCCTAAAAATGACCTGTAAACTCAATCAGGTGTAGCTAATCACCTTCTCAATGGCACACAAAGCCATTTGACTTTCAACTGTGATCAGCTGTGGTCATTTTGATTAGCCAAGCATGAAAAGAGCATTTCTTGAGCATTTCAGTCCTTTGTAGTGCAACTGAAGCAAACAATCAACTATGGGAGGCAAGGCAGTCAAAAGATCTCCGGGATAAAATTGTGGACAGGCACAAGTCAGGAGATGGATACAAAAAAAATTCAAAGGCTTTATCAATGCCTAGAAGCACAGTTAAGTCTATTATTAAGAAGTGGAAGGTATTTGGTACAACACAGACCCTCCCTGGATGCGGGCGTCGCTCCAAACTGGATGAAATAGCCAGGAGCAAACTGGTCAGAAAGGCTACCAAGAGGCCTACAACAACTCTGAAGCAGTTGCGGGAATTTATGACAAAGACTGGTCAATGTGTGCATGTGACAACAATATCACAAATTCTCCACAAATGTGGCTTGTATGGGAGGGTTGCAAGAAAAAAAGGCACTACTCAAGAAAGGCCACAACACCAAATGATATGTCTGGCGGAAATCTAATACAGCTCACCATCCAAATAACATCATTGCTACAGTAAAGCATGGAGGTGGTAATATCCTGTTATGGGGGTGTTTCTCTGCAGCAGGGACTGGAGCACTTGTCAGGATAGAAGGAAAAATGGATGGGGCAAAATACAATAAAATTCTTGAGGAAAATCTGCTGCCCTCTGCCAGAAAGTTGTCAATGGGAAGGTTTACCTTTACCAGCAAAACTGACCACTGGTTGAATGAAAAAAAAGGTGAATGTCCTTGCATGGCCTAGTCAGAGCCCAGACTTAAACCCCATTGAAAAGCTATGGAATGACTTGAGGACTACAGTCCACAAACGCTCACCATCAAATTTAACTGACCTTGCGCAGTTCTGCAAATAAGAGTGGGCAAGTCGTGGCCTAATGGTTAGAGAGTCGGACTCGTAACCCAAAGGTTGCGGGTTCGAGTCTCGTACCGGCAGGGAGTGAATGTACAGCGCTCTCTCCCACCTTCAAAAAATGGCTGCCCACTGCTCCGGGTGTGTGTTCACGGTGTGTGTGTGTTCACTGCTGTGTGTGTGCGCACTTTGGATGGGATAAATGCAGAGCACTAATTCCGAGTATGGGTCACCATACTTGGCCACATGTCACGTCACTTCACTTCAAATAATGCAAAGTCTAGATGTGCAAAGTTAGTAGAAACATATCCCAACAGACTAAAGGCTGTAATTAAAGCAAAAGGTGGTTCAACAAAATACTGACGCAAGGGGGCGAACCTTTTTCCAAGGTTGTGTGTTACAAGGTTGGGTGTTATGATGATGTATGCTGTGTGAAGGTCTGTCAACCAGATGAGTTTGTAATATATTTTATATACAAATCTTAATAAATTTTTATTAAAAAACATTCTTTGTTTTACAAGGTTTCAAATATGACTTATCTGGTCATATTCATAGTTTGTAAGTTTATATACAAATCTTAATTATTTTTTATAAAAAATAAAAAAAAAACTCCTTTGGTTTACAAGGCTGTCTGGCCATATTCATAATGTTTTGATATTTTTTTAAACTATTGCATAATGTGAAGTGTTGATGCCAGAAATATTTATTTGTCCTGAATTATCTTTTATTGTTTTGCATCCATCAAAAAAAGAGATTAGATAGCTTTAATATTTACGTCACTAGACATTACACCCCATGTCGTTCCAAACCCGTAAAAGCTTTGTTCGTCTTCGGAACACAATTTAAGATATTTTGGATGAAAACCGGGGCTTGTGATTTCCCGATTGACTGCCAAGTAAATTACACTGTCAAGGTCCAGAAAAGTATGAAAGACATCGTCAGAATAGTCCATCTGCCATCAGTGGTTCAACCGTAACGTAGGTCAGAGGTGACCTGCTTAATAATTATGCACACCTGAATATAAGACATTTTTCACTTCCAACCTTCATGAATAATTATATATCAATTATAAATTATTAAATACAAGATTAATAGTAGTTATTAAGATTGATGTCGTTTGGAATTGGTCAAATGTGCTTGGAAAAAATATGATCAGAATATCAACTTGCATAATAATTATGCATGCACTGTATTTTTCCTCTACTGCTGTCGAAGTAATGCAAGGAATGTTGTGATTGGTTGTCAAGGCAGCCAATCAGAATTTAGCAGCCTCTGTCTCTGATTGGCTGGAATTATGGCACATTGTAACGCTGGGTTGTGTTGAGCACGCGAGCTGTTGGCATTTAG